ACACACACACGCACACACACACACAGGCCTTCACAACCAGAACTCCTAAAACATCAAATCCATGCCCTCCTCAATCTGACGACGCCGATTCGCGGAAAACCCGCCGCAGGGGTGAATTACACTTGAATAAAGTATGAGAAGGACGCATCCCCATTTGCCATTTCCACGTAAACTGGGTCATCAAGCCGCCAAAGGCTAATCCAGGCTGACAGGAGCAAGCATTCAGCCAGCAGAAACACACACACACACACTGAGTAATACGCCCCACCTTGACCACCAACAGCAGCCGGGTCGCTCCTGCCCGCTCCGGCACATCTTGAACGGTCCGGCGGAGTTCAGGCTGCCTCGCCCACTGCTCGGCGGAGTCCGCCTGGGTGTGTCGCTGTCTGTGGAAAAAATTTGCGTCCGCGCTACGGAAACGTTTGACAGCGTTTAAGTGTGTGGAGCACACAGCAGCAGCAGCAGCGGAGAAGACAGCGCAGGACTTCAGCCCCTTTTACACAACTCCTGCCCCCCCCACCCCACCTTCTCTCTCTTTCTGTGTCTCTCTGCCTCTCTCTCTCTTTCACTCTCACACACACCCAGGCGAGACACACACCCGGCTTCCCACTCCGATCAGCTGGCAGCGTGATGACGTGGGCCTGCACGAGAAACGGACGTCAAAACCTGCACGGATCTGACGTGTACACGCAAGACAAGTGCATGCCGTGAGACAGCAGATTGAGCTGTTTATAGTAACTCACGCTAAAACGTCAGGTTTTATTTTCCTGCCTAAAGTAGAAAACACGCACATAAGTACTATATAGATGCTGTCACACATGCTGTATTACACGACACACTTTCCATTAGATTATCATTACTTATGCATTTACTACTGTTGTTTGTTGAGTGGGCGGATTTCATATGCGAGTGCAGCTAATAGGTTATTGGAAATAGTGCAATGATGAATTAATTGTTTAACGTGTTTAATTACAAACAAAAAGACCCAATTAGGACAGTAAATGACGAAGTCCTCACATTTGATGCTCAAAATCATCACATTTCTTTTTGCACTCAAATATACGACAGTTATTGAAACTTCAGGCAGTTTTTTTTTTCTGGTCTGTGACTAACGGTGTAATTCCCTTTTAGAAATAACAATATAATTACTAATTACCTATGAATACTTGGCAGCGGGTAATGCGTCATAATGCAAAATTTACAGATGGAGAAACATTGTTTGGGTTTTCCACCAAATTACCTAGAACTTATGCACGACTTAAAATTACCTATAGTTTAACTATGTTTTTCTTTCCTGTAAAAACTTGAATTGCTACCCTTTTATTGTAATGTAAAATATACTGTTAAATATCATTGCTTTGTAATTTCAGAACAAAATACAGTGAAATTCCATTTCATTCCTAATGGGCTGTGTTATAAAATGCTACCACATTTTTATAAAAAGCATTGATAAGCACTTACCATACGTTTAAAGTTTTAAAGCTACAGTTTACCTAAAAACCTTTCTTCCCCCCTGACAGGCAGGACTGTTGATCCCAGATTTTGTTGGTTTGAGATTCCCAGTTTTTGTGTCTTCTCTTGAATATAGTGGAACCGGAGAGCACATGCCTTGTTCTGCTCAATGCAACAAAAATACATTTAAAAGCAGCGTCTCTTTCCAGAAGCCTGATTACCCCAATAAATCCACAAACCTTGTTGTGCTCAGTTTTAAAGTAGGAACTATTCTCATATTGGAAAAAAAAAGATTTAAAAGCTATGCTACACTTCTGCCTCAGTTTAACTCTCTGGAAGAACAGGAATCATGACCCGTCGATATATGAACAATTCAGTGTTAGTGCTGATTTAGCAGGATTCCATTTTTGACAGACAACTATTTGCACAAAAGTTGTGCTGTTGTTCTATTAATACGAGTCTGCAAGAGGCCTCCGGAGACATCAGCAGGTCGAGATGAATTAGTTACCCTCTCAGTGCTGACGCACACAGACGCTCACGCAGCAGTGACTGCTTCTCAGTCCTTGCTTCTTTCTGTCTCTCTCCCGTGAACCTGGGCTTGTCACTCTGCAGCTTTAAGGTTGCTGCAGTTTGAAAAGCTGCTTCCTCACTGTCACCTGACACACCGAGGACACGCAGCAAATCCTCACAAGGCCACCTTCCAATGTCTTCTTCCTTTTTCTTGAATATTTTTAGAACAGCGTTTCCCACAGAATATGAGTAAGGTGTATTAAGATGATTTTGACCCCTGTAAATTCCCAAATTCTTCATGAGTTCCTACAAGACCATAGTGACCTACCACTCAGATATGGATTTTTTGGGGAAATGCTAACAACTGTAAAGCTGCAAATCATTGCTAGCTGGAAGTCTGTAACCTTCATTACCTGTAACCTGATTCAGACACAATCTCCCTTTTGGGGATTTGTGTGGGTGGAAATTATTATCATTCAGTATTTTTATAGCCGTACTAAAAAGCAACATTATTTAGGATCAGCATTGGAAACAAAGAAAAGCCAATCTACTGTGCCACTCCCAGTGTTGAGTATGCCATAAATAATTATTTTAGGTAGAAATCCAGTCCAGAGAATAAGCTGTGTCTTATATATTTAACACAACCCTGAACCCTGTTCAGCATGTAAAATGATCTAAGTGCTCTCTGAAAACTGCTATACATGTCTAGAGTGTCTGGGGGAATACCAGTAATGAATTCTCATCTGTAAAACACCTACTGTTACAGGATTGTGATTTATTTGATGCACCTTCAAAAAAAATCTAACTTGGCATGTTTGTAAAAGCGCTTGAGCTATTGTTGACAGTGGCCTCACAAGCAGATGCCAGTGCACTTACTGCATGTAAAAATCTGTTTGTGTAATTATGTCTGCACCAGATGGAGAAGCACGCGAGTCACATCTTCCTCCACCGCCGCCAGAGTGTAAGCACACCAGAGCAAGACGTGACAGAGGCATGGGTCAACACGCATAAAATGTAACACAGTCACATGACCTAGAAGTGGAGAATGTAATATTCTGGGTCAAAGGTGGTTCAAGTGTTTCATGTGTTTAGCTGTGGAAACTTGATCTCTTTTGTTGTTTTGGCTGTGATTTATCAGTTTTGCTTGCTCATTTATGCAATCCTGTTTTTTTAAAAGTGTTTTTATTTTTGACAGTTCCAACAGTGTCGTTTGGAAAAAGAGGGCTTTAAAAACCTTTCTATCGCGTCTCACTCTGAACTTTGTCACTGCTGCACGCATAAATGCTACGTGTCCTCTGTGACTCAGCAGATGGTTTGTCCCTTTTGCTCCTGTAGTTCTTGTTGGAAGATCACAGATATGTGGGGGAAATGCAGAACCAGGACAGACCTGCTTGAAATCCAGCACTGAGTCTATTTTTAGCACTGCTGCGTTTAGCGTTTAAGAGCAGACCAAGCATAGCGCCCGGGGGCCAAAATTAGTTACTTGGAAATTAATAGGAAGGTTAAAGTGCATGTAAAACTTAATAATTACGGGAAAAGGCAGATGTGTGTGCAGTACAAGGAACCAGTGGTGATCTCGACTCTGTGGAACAGGAAAAGGATGGAAACTCCCTAGAAAATACCACACAGCATGCAGTGGAAGTGCTTTGAAATCCCCATGCAGGAGTGTAAAGGACCAAAGTTTTACAGATGGCATTCAGTCCCTTTAACATGATTAAAACACTTTTTTTTTTTTTAACCTTCTAGCTTTTTAAAAACTTAAATAATCAGAATGACAAAGATTTTTTTCTTTTGATTTTGAAAATAGAGACAATTTTTTAAAGATTATGTCACTGCCCAGAGGTTAAAATGTTCATACATCATTGTTTTCTAAAATAACAGCACTAAAGAACACAGACACCGTTAGGGGTTAGCTGCAATGATAAAATGTAATGTCAGTCTTCTATTCACAGCTTGTTTATATTGCCCCCACTGCCCAAAAGACTTAGTCCAGTGCCTGGGGGGCCAAATTCGGCCTGGCAAAGACTCCAAAGACTGTGAATTAACAAAGACTTTCTTTTTTTATAATTACAGGACAGTCTAATTATATTATTTTGTCTTCAGCTCAAAGCTGTAACACAGATAGTTCAAATAGTTTAGACCAACAGGTTTCATCTGAAGTTTGTGCGTGCTATGAAGAGTCATTTCACAGGACAACAGGATGCATGTCTGAGCATTTCTATTTAAACTAGACTGATTTGTATTCTGTCAGCCAGACAGAAATAAAAGTTTATAACCTTTTCAACAAAAGACAAAGAAAATTCCCCTGTAAAAAAATGGAAAAAATAGAAAATCTTATGTAATAGAGGTGCTCGTAGCTCTTCCAGTGTTTTGTTTTTTACCTGTTTGCTGTACAGTACAGACCTCGTGGCGCAACGGTAGCGCGTCTGACTCCAGATCAGAAGGTTGCGTGTTCAAATCACGTCGGGGTCAACTACTTTAACCCTCGGTAACGATCACATTATTTATGATGTGTGTAACGTACCGATTTTAAATACAGAATATCTGTCTGTCACTGGTTTCCTATTCGCGCTTTATGCAAGTCACTGTATTCCCCAGAAGGCAAAAATAAGACTTATTTTCAATTTCAACTTTCTCATGATTTCCCGTGATTCCCATCAACTTTCTCGTGGTTCCCAAATCAACAGCAAACTTAATGCGTCAGATAAAAACAGCTAAACAAATAAAGTCTATGAGGTTCATCCTTCTGTTTCTAAAATGTCTTCATTGTCAAAGTGATTGATTCACTGGCAGCTGGCAGCACGGTCAGGATCACAGAGCAAAGACGAACCGTGCAGCTCGAATTCGGCTTACTTCGTTTGACGTGTCGACGAGACCCGGAGACATTCTTCTCTGGGAAGGTGTGTCCTGTTGCCATGGAGAGGCGTCACTTGGCAACTTGGCGGTGTAGCGTGATTGTGAGGCACAAAAGGTAGCTCTGCAGCTCGCAGTACTTAGCCCATCTCCCCCCGTTTGTAGAAAACGTATTTATTTTAAATAAATAAGATTGAAGGGCAGCTGCTGACAGGCTACTTGTTTCCACCGAGGTTTCTTGCCTGCAGTGAGTAAGAAGAATAATCTAAGAAGAATTTTATCCTGTTCATCAGTTGGTTTGGCGTGAGCAGACCTACTCATCGGCACTGAGACACCAGTATGCAGACAAAGAAGAAAAGAAACAAAGGCATTGTTTCCAACCGTGCCCTAGAAAATGCAGGTATTTTATTTTCTTTTTTTTATCAGTGGAACTCAAGTTCTGATTCATATATAATATTATGTGTTTTCCCTTGGCTAGTGAAATGTGAAATCACTACACTGAAAGTTTATGAAAAGAATATGTGATGGATCTACCTGCCTATCTCTGAATCAAAGACAACCTCAAAATCTAGAAAAATGAAGTCCTCGTGCTGAAAAGCACTGAAAATTAGATTTGTGCCTCGAGGGCACGTTAGAGGAGAGGAAATTAAATTACAGTGCCACATTTTTTGTTATTGAAAGGATATTAGAAGCAGACCATGAAATGTATGTTTCTGATGGAGTCCATGCTACCAGCTAGTACAGAAACCATTCTGAAATGATAAACTGTGACCTAATAAAAAGCTCTTGAAACTCTCTCACAGCACAGCATTGATTTATTATTGGTCATGCTGCAGAGAGAAAAAAAAGAAAAGGCATGGAAAAACATCTGACCCTCATGTTTCATCCCTCAAATCACTTGAATAGGTCGTTAGAGAATCGACCCCATGCCTCCTCATTAACCTATTATAGCTCTCTACTGTAACCCAACCCAAAAGTCCTTAATCTCCATAGGAAGTCATTAGTAATAGGAGGCCTACATGTTTATAATGCTTCCCTACAGAGAAACTTCTGGCTGTATCTTTGCCTCCTGACATCTTGCCGCTGGCCCTTGTGCCTCCTCAGAGTCCGGGTCAGTCCCAAGACCAGGTTCCCAAGCTCAGAGCCTCCACTAAGAAGAAACGAAAACGACAGAGGAAAAAACACCGCAAGGACTCTCCAGCCACGCTGACAGAGAACCATAAAAGCGATGGAAGCGGAGATACTGCTCAGGGATACGTGACAGTGCTCAATGTCCCGCAGCACTCTCTCCCAGCTCAGACTCTCAGCCTGAGGTGGGAGGGAGTGCTGCAGGATCCCCAGGCTGAGGCAAAGAGACTGGAGCAGTATAGGGCCAACAGGCGGCAGCGGTACATTGCACACAGAGAGGCTCTGTTAAAAGAAACCCAGGACGCCTTAAGACAGACTTTTCCTAAAGAGAAAAAGGTTCCAGCTAAATGTGACCAGCAGGAGGCTGCGTCATTACTGCAGCTGAGCAGACACTGAATTAAAGAAGCAAAAGAGAGCCTTATGCTGTTAGTGGCCTCTGGATTTATTTGTTCACAGTTTAAAATAGATTTATGCAGTGTGAGACACAAAGTAAAGATCCTAGGGTGCTGTTAAGACACTGGACCAAAGAGAAACTGAGCAGCTGAACACCCTTTAAAACGCCCCAACAGAAATGCTTAGGATCACAATGCCACAGCTTTCACGACAAGAACGCCTCCTGCTGAGCACAACTTAAGAAGTTAAGTTGATCTTTCAGGGCAAAAACCCGGTCGAGATCACATAACATGAACCCAACTCACATCTGTCAGTGAAGTGAAGGGGAGCTGATCCATTACAGCATGAGAACCACAAAGAAAGATGTCCAGCAGAGAGGGGGTGGCAATGTGACTGTAACAAAGCGCTGCTCTGCTGTCAGACTAAGCACAATACAGTAAACACAGTAAAAAGCTTGTTGGTGACACGATGGAGCAACAATTTAATGTGCAAAGTCATAAACTCATTATTTCTCTCTTCTTCTTTGTTGCTCCTCTAAACTGTTAACTGTGTAACACTAAACCCCTTACTGATAAATGGCAGTGGGTGTCTGTTTATCACATTTGAACTTTATAGCCACAATTATGCAGACAAGCAAATCACCACGCTACATGCAGGAGATAAAGATCATACAAATATACATACATATATAAGCTATTATGATTATAGTATGATGCTGTGATTTTGTGACACACCTTTCTAATCCGACATTCTATTAAGTGCTCGTTGAACTGTGAAATGTCCAGGTATTGCCTCATGATACCAGTAGTGATACTGACCTTAGCCAAATGCCAAACTACTGAAAAAAAAATCAGAAAAGATGAGAAGGGAAAAAAATGTTAGTGGCCTCCACCTGTAAAATCATTCCTGTTTTGGGGCTTGTCTCGTTGTTGTCCCTCTAGTCCACCTGCTGTTAATTTCGTCAAAGCAGCTAAAACATATTAACAACCCCTTCAATTACTTAATTGAACAGATCAATATTCTAGAAGTTTGACTTGATGCTGTAGTCTAAATATAAAGTGTTCATTTCATTTTTTCTTAACAGTATATGTGATTTTCGGAAAATGTTTGTATATGCATAATAGATGCTGGCACTCGCAGTTCCCTAAGCAATGTTTATGCAAAGTTTCATCAAGATTGCTCCACTCCCCCATGAGGAAATAGGGAACATGCAAACATACATCCATACATATGCATAAACCAATTGTAGTATGATGTGTCCCCGTCCACACAGGAAGCAGTTTGTCTGTAAAGCATCACTTTGACACAGATATTTGGCTACTGGTAGACGTTCCAGGCTGTGGTTGCCTAGGTAACCCTATAATGTATTTACTACCCTGTCATATGTCAACCCTCTAATGAAAGGATGTCAAACTGATTTTGCATGTTGCATCACATACAAACCAATTTGGCCATAAGTGGGCCAGACACTCCCCTTTGTGTCAATGTGAAGACGTTTAGCCACGACATTTAATCCCTGATACATCTTATTATATGAAAAAAGTAGTGCAGTTGCAACATTACATCTTAGTTTTTCTAAATGATAAGAACAAAATCTGTCAACACTACTGTTTGGGCTTTATGAGAAATAAACATGTAAAAAGTTGAACTAGCTCATTGCCCAGACTGTGCTATATTGATGAAACTGAACATTTCTGTTAATTCACAGAAAATGTCCTTAATTTATTTGATTGTTTATGTATTTATTATTTTTTTAACTGTAGCCTCATTGTAAAAAACATACATTTCTATATTTCTATAGTTGTCTAGTGGGCCAAATTAGAGTCTTTGCTGGTCTGAGCCTTATGTTTGACACCCTTGATCTAATGTTCTTTACTACCCTGTCATATGTGTATCATAGGTATCCTGTGCTATCACCGTTGCTTGCATAGAAAGTTATCTCAGGACACGCCCACTTTGTGTCACTAGTGGGGTTTTTTTCTTAAAACCTGCAATCGCTGCCAAGTTTCATTGGCTTTCAAAGGTTTCTGGTCACCACACAACTCAAAATCACTTCATGTGTGGATGCAGCTTAAGGCTCTTTCTGCTATAGATTTTTTACTGTCTCTAAGATGTTTGATGAGCAAATACAGTAACGTACAACATCTTAAATGTCCTTCAAATCACATAAAGAATTAAGTGTAATTATAGGTGTACATTTATGAAGTGGGACAGATTACTTCCTGTTTCTGTCCACTCTGTGTAGGAACACTACCACTGCTGGACAATAGATGTCAGAACAGTCCCTCTCTGAGTGAATCATATGTTCTCATGAGTCACTAAATACAACAGAGACCAAACTGATATGCCTGAGTTTTTTTTAATTCAAAGTTAAAAACAGGACAAAAATGTTTAAATGACAAGTACTTCACTTTTATTCTTACTCTTGGCATCAAGAATCACTTTGAAATGATAACAACGCTGTTACTAACAAGAGGGCTGATGATGCTCATCGATGTGTCTTCTTCTTGTCACCTCAAGAAAACAAATCTAATAATGTTCTTATACCGAGGATATCATAGATTACTTGCTGTACCAGAGTGACTGGGTTCCTGTGAATTTACAGCATTATACTGTAAATGCATTGTACACACAGAAATGAGGTAACTTGAATATCACAGGAGTCAGTCATCTCCTGTGTAATGAAATACACCTGCTCTATCCATAATTATCCGTAAAATTAGCCATTTTTCCCCTGCATCACCAGAGCTTGATTTTCATTATATTTAGGGTTGCACAATTAGCCAATTTTTATTTCTCTTACATAAGATAAGAGCTTCAATTTTGTTAAAATGGCAGGCAACAAGTTTCAATTCAAATGCTAATAAAAAAAACTGTTTAGCCTGCCCTTTGCAAAGAAAAAAAAACTAAATCTTTGACATGCAACATTAGTACAGAGAGAAAAAAAGCCATTACCACCTACTACCACCTAAAATATCACTACTGGTACTGGTACTACTAACTGGATCTGGCCCTGAAAGGTCCTGGGTGAACTGAGGCATCCTGCTGAGAGCGAACAGTAAAAGCTGAGGTGTGAATTAAAGATAGCAGCAGAGCGATTGAGGTGGGGGGAGAGAGAGAAACGCAGCATTTCTGTTGTGCAGTGCTTTTGTTCGTTGTTTGCTGCAGGCCTATTGTTTGCTGTTGGTGTGTTTTGTTACCATTGCCTGTTTCAGCATCTCTGTTTCAAAGAGCTGAACACTGCTGCCTCTGTTTTCCTAATCCCCCACCCCCCACCCCCCAACTCACTGACCGGACCACGAACGCGGATGTAGTGGGCATTAAGGTCACTTATGTTTTTCCAGCTGCCCCATCCAAGTAAAAGTCAGCTTTAAATACTAACAGCAGATAACATACTGAGGCATCTTAAACAGCGATGTCTCTGGACTGTTACTGAAACACTCCTGGAGACATAAATCCATGAAATAAAAAGAAAATCTGTTAAATTAATGACAAAAAAAATTCGATTTAAAAAAGAAGACCTATAAGCTGCATCTTTTTGAGGTATCTGTTGTTGACATTTGGACTCCCCCTCACAGGAACACTGAATGCATGGTATGCACTTCCACACAGCCCGTATTAGATGCTGAGCTGTTACTGCAGCTTTCACTGTGTTTGGTGCTCCTTCCCTCCACAAGTGAAGTTTGTCTCTTCCGACTGAAAAGTTTCAATCCACATTTCCAAACTCCCCCTGGTCCTTTTTGTGAGCCGTGCTGAAGAAGCGACATACAGAGGAACGAACATTGGACAGACAAGTGTAAGGAGCTGAATATCAGGACAGCTGCAGCCAGCTCAGGTCGTCTGATCTGTCAGAGAGAGGAAAAATATTTGAAAAAATGCTTTTATGTGGATTTCCACTTATCTTGTGTAATTCTGCCTCCATTCACCAGCACAGTGAATTTTAAATCAATCGCCATGTGATGTGCTGACTTTCAGCTTTAATTCAAGATGTTTAACAAAAGTATTGCAACAGATACATCCATTTTTAAAACATTTTTTTATACATAGCTCCCTTTTTTCAGAGGCTCAAAGTTAATTGGACAGATGACTGTCAGGTGCTTATATGACCTTGAAGGTCTGTTCTCTTGCTATTCATTCAGAAATTAAGCAGAACTCCCAATAAGAGGTCCAGAGAGATACCAAAGCAAGTGAGCGAGTGAGTCATCATTAGATTGAAAAACCAAACCAAACCTGAGAGGAAAAAAATTAGGAGTGGCTAAATGACCATTCTAGCTCATTCTTAAAACTGTAAGTGCAGGATGATGGAGGCTATGTAAAGCAACTTCACAACATTCAGCATTTAAAAGTTAAGAATACTCTTCAGGAGGTATCATTGTTATGGTCAACAATCAAGAGATGCCTTCAAGAATGGAAACACAGCGCGTTTACAACAAGCAGGTCAGATTAGACTTTACCAGAAAACATGTAAAGAGAAAATGCAGTTCTAATATAATGTTTGGACAGATGAAACCAAGATTAACTTGAAACATGGTGACAGCATTAGGGCATGGGCATGTATGGCTGGCAGATCATCTGTTTATTGATGTGACTGCTGCTAGAAGTAGCAGGGTCTCAGGAAACATTTTTTCTGAGCGTTAAACAGGATATTTTGAAATTGTTCCATATTTCTTAGTCAGATATGCACCTCATTCATCATGTTTGGTTTCAAAACAAGATGATATCATGCGCAAAAAAGACACTGACCTATGCAGACCTATGCAGGGACTTCTCTAATGATGCCATGAAAAACTGTTTAGTGATCTGAGATTTTTACAAAGCCTATGAAAGGTTTGATTGAGCCCATGTGAGAAGCATGCATGTTCTACCCAGATCCCAGCCATCACTAGAGACAAAAGGAATATTTGTGTAGTTAGAATTTGTCTGAATCTCTTTTGAATGCTACGTGTAATAAAGGACAGCTTGAAACAAGGTAATGGCTTGATTATCCGAACAATGTCTGGACATCATGTGTCAAAACAGCTTTGAAGTCATGTTCCTGACCACCTGTGGTGTCTAACTTAAACAATGAAACTCTGTTAGATCTTTTTTTGGACTCCACCAACCTCTAGGGAAGAAACATGGCTCATTTTTCACAAAAATAAATGTCCCCACATGTCTCTCTGGAGTCATATTGTTCAGATTCAGTTTGACTAAAATAATCAGAAGATGGGAATATAGAAACAAAGTGTAAAACAAACAGAACGATTTTACATACTGGGCCTCGTTTTTTGTGATGACTTTTCCTGTTGCGAGTCTCTCAGCTACTGCCGACACTGCTGGATCAAAGTTCAGGCCAGCTGCTGCTATGACCTCCTCATCCCTACAGGGAAAAAAACATTCCAAACATACACATCTGGGTATTTATTTAATGGTTACATTTTTTCTATCACAGTTGAATACAGTTTCAACAACAACTTACTTAATGTACAATGCGAGGAACTTCCTGTCCTCAAACTTTCCTTTTATCACGAGCTCAGTGTATCCCTCCCCATAGCCTGCACACAGCCAAAGCAAACATTTAACAATGGCATGCAGAA